TGCAACATATTTTGTTAGCCTGCGATAGACTGGCGACCTGTATAGGGTGTAAACCACCTCTCACACATAGACTGCAGGAGATAGGCTCGGCCCCACCGTCACCTTGCTAAATAAGAAGGAGAAAATGGATGGATATTTTATTATTGCTTGTTTCTGGTCATATTATATATTCAAGAAATATTGAAGTCAGAGAGTATGTTTCTTTTTTTGCGGCAAAAACAAACAAAAAACATCTTTCTTTAGACGTGCAGACTCACTTGCTAAAGATGCCTAAAAATATATACATCTACATACAGAGAAATACATGGAAAAAATACAGCCTGTAAATTGATTTAAATGTTTTTTGCTTTTTAAAATTACCCACTGTGTTTAGGAACTTTGAGTTACTAATCCATGACTCATTGTTTCTGTGGTGTGTAATTATGCCATGACACAGACGCACTTAATCTTTGCCATATCTTGGTAAAATTTGCTGTTAGAGATATAAAACCTTATACTAACTGGAACTGTATCACAGTGACTCACTGCATAGAGTCAGAAGAATGATAAGAGAGAAAAAAAAATCGAATTTTACTCAAATTATGTGAGCTGAAAAAAGTGGGTAAATTTATATCTTGGCACCAATAAATGCAGTTTTAAGAGTTTGTGCAGATTTTTACTATGAGTTCCAATAAAAAGCATGCCATCAAACTAAATATATATTCATTCAATATATGTCTCATTTTCACAAAAATTTTTACTAATAATGTCAAGATTTTTTTTATAAAATACTTTTTGTGTCACTTGATTGTCAACTATGTGTTTTTCTGATCTGATTTTAAGGTATGTTAAAGCAATATAATGATTTCCTTTACATAAAATCTTATTATTTACTGTGTCTTACAATCTAAAACCAAACAAAAAAAATACCTTGCCATAGAATTTACAAAAATTCCTCATAGTATAATTTGTATATATAAAACATTTTTTTTTTTATTTGTTTCATGTAGTTTTTTCTTTGCTCTTAAATGTTCGACTGGGCTGTGAATCAGTGGAAACTCCACCCCTCCACACCAGCAGGCGGCGGTGTTGTATTCCAGCCGCTGTCTGGAGCAAACGTTCAGGAAGTCGAGCAGAAAGTGGCGGAGAAACAAAACAGCAGGAAGAGTTTTTAAAATGAGATGATGGGAGAGATGGAAGCAGCAGAGATTGATGATATTTTAGACGACTGGTTCATCGAGTCTCTGAAATCGTGAGAAAACTTTGATTCTTCATTAAACCTCGTGTAATTTTTGCTTTATTAGCTGACAGGAAACGATGAAAACGCATCTTCCATATCAATGAATTAAAATTGACATTCCTTTCATTTCACTCGGCTTTAAATATGAAGTTAATTCTGTGTCGATATTATCTATTGATAATATTCGGCTTTATTTAATTTAAACTTAAGATGTTTAATCTGGTAGACTTGCACTCAGAAGAGAAATGTTCAGTGAGTTCACATTAGTTAATATTATAAATATATATATG